GAATGAATGTATCTTCATTCCTACTTGGAATATGGATTACAAAAAATCTGCATAGATAGTGTTGGTGATGTCTAGCAATCCTCAATATCCATTTTGTACTGAGTCTAAAAAATCTCGAACCGTCTGGAAAACACCGCCTAATTGACAAATATCCAGTTTTAATAATCCAGTTATTATTATGATAAGGGGAGTCTTTGGGGGAACTAATTCAGCAATGTTTTGATTTTCTAGTGTTTGTTTCCTCATTTTTTTTAATTTTACTATGAGTTCTATAGTCATTCTAGGATAAAATTAAATTACAATGTAATTCTTGAAATTTTATGTAATACTAGGTAAGGGACGTAGTTTCCACTTTTATTTACTGTTGTTCTGGGCCAGTAATATATGCACAATTAGAAGTCCAAATTTTCTCTATAGGTACTACAGTCAACTTGATATGCACTTGCTAACATACAATAAATAATCTATGTTAATGAAGTCAATTGACTTGTCATGTACACGTAATTCGAGAGTAACATTATCTATTATTAGTGATATTTAAAACCAATCTAGATGGTAGTGAAGCCTACAACTTATCAAAGTAAAGTTATTCATCATTAATATTATCATTATCGATCGAGATGAAATTCATTATTCAGTAGATTAAAATACATTGAACAATGAATCAGAGAACTCGTTGTCACCTAGTGATCACAACTACTAAATGAATAACATTATTATTTATGATCGCCAATTGTAAAAGTAAATTTCGCTGCCATCTAGATTCATGTCAACACCACTAACAATAGGGAGCATTACTCACAAAGATAAGAATACTTCATGGAATTGGGGTGTGGCTCAAATTAATCATCGCAGTAGAAGAAATGCAAGTTCTAAAACACGGTGAGTGTCAGGGCATTTAAACTTAAAAAGTCCTCCAACCATCTGCCTAATACTCCAATAATACGTCTTACTTCATCATATTTGCTTAGACCTGCGTAAAAAAATCCTGGTATGGTCTAGTCGAGCATATAGATTCTAGATGCAATGTCTTGGACCAACCAATCAAACCCTTCGAGCAGTCCCTCCCCAGTGTATGCACTACATCCGACAATTCTCCAGTGTCTGGTTTTATCCATGGCATCCAAGTTGAGCACCTAAATCAAGAAAATGCACTTTCAATTAAACTGAAAATACAAAAACTTCAAAGGTTTTACATTAAATACAGATGCATAATAGAATTTGAAGGAAAAGAATGACAGTAAAAATGAGAAATTGAAAAGGCAGATCTTGAAATAGCAGTGGATGAAATTGTAAGACTCAATTCTTCTCTACCCGTCTCTCTCTACTATAAAATAGAACATGAATATTGCAACCAGTGATTCTACGAAGTTCTGCCATAGTATGAATAATGATCAGGTCAAAGTTGCAAATAACAAGGAGTAAATTAAAAACCTTTTCAACCAAAAGAAATCATATCAAAAGGCGTTCATTACAAACAATAGAAACTACCACATAAGAATATCCTTACTTCTTAAAGACCAAGGACGAAAAAATGAGAACAAAATTGGCCCCAGAATCAGAGTCGAAATTTATAACTATCTTTCGTCAATGTATTTGCTGGCATGTTGCACAGACTCATAAGCATGGTCGATAATAGAAAATATATTAATAGAGTATCCAATATATAAGCATTGTGCTTCAATCATCATCATAAAATATAATTGGACCTGCTAGACTCCTCTATCATATGATATGAGTATTGCTTAAGAGACATAAGAATAAGATTATATTTTGCTACAGGAACAATATTTGTAACAGAAACCCATTATCAAATAAAAATTTCCTGGATATTAATTAGCATCTACCCTTACTTTTGCTATTTCTTCTGGTGAAAGAGCTCCTTGTATGTCCTGCTTATTAGCAAAAATCAACAGTGATGCTCCTGATAACCTCTGTTAAGAAAACGATTGGCATGTTATAACTTACATTACTGAAAAAAAAACATCGTAAAATAGTTGTCAGATATTTTTCTCCTTTACGTCTATAATTATTAGAATATAATGACATTTATTTGAAGAATAATTAATCATCGGTAATAAAGATCGCTGAAATGCGCAAGGGAAAAATGTATTCCACATGTATAGTTATGTATGTTTGCATTCATTGTCTTGCTTAAAAAGGGTTTGGGGAAGCATTACACAAGATACTCTCTTCTACTTTCTGTACTATTCCTTAGATCCTATTTAAGGATGTGAACCATTTGACCTTTAAAACATAGGTCCAGGATCCAAATACTTTCAGGTCGAAGACATTTTCACTCCAAATGGATATCCAATTTGAAAGAATATCACAATATAGTTCACCAAGGTCACAAGTTCTAATAATTGATCACAAAAAATAACTGTGCAAACTGCAAAGAGCACCTTGTGGCTATAGAAAAAATATTGTATTCAGGTTCCACAAATTCCCATATTATTTTTGTTTCAACATAAAAGCTTCCTAATAGAATATAGATTAATGAAAAAATTAATGTTCTGGTCATTTGCGTGCAGAGAAAGTAAACAAGAATTAAAATTATTTGTCTAAAGAGGACACCTTGAAATTTTATCCAGATGAAAGGTCATTAGTATGTTTCAGTATTAGCATCCTAAAGTAAATGTGACATCTTAGTATCTTACATGTAGGCATGTTAATATTAAGCCCTGATGATGGATAAAGTGTTTGATAGGGCCAATCGGGAAAGTTAAAAGGACATGGAGACATGAAAAAGTGTTCCCAACTTATGTAGAAGAGAAAGGATGTCCTTAGTATCAAATTATTCAATTTGGGCACTTTATTCAATTGCTCCCGTATAAATTAATTCAAGTTGTAAATATGCTTGTTACGTGCACAGTTAATAGAAAGTACTGGACGTGTAACCATTTTAAAGTGCTGTTTTTTACTCACAAAAGTCACACTCGAGTACCATAGATTATCCACAATTATGTCATCTGAAATATATTACGCAAATAACTCCCCATCCCGCCCCAGAAGATGGGAACAAAAGCTAACCCAAATAAATGAAAAAAATTCATATCTTTTATATGATGAAACAACTATTCTGATTTCAGAATGAAAACCAAATTGGCCATCAACAATATTAAAATGTGGAATCTACAGCCTCAAACAAAGGAATTAGTTGGAAGTTTGATATTCATTACGGTAATAAATGGAACAAAAAATTGAATTGTCAGTCAAATGTGAAAGCGATAGCCAAGTTTTTACATGTTTCTGCTGGTTAGTTGTAAAGCAAACCAAATACATCGTTGCCCAAGAGAAGCAAACACAGACCAGAGAAAAGATATTATCCAACTACACTTGAATGAAATTTGTGGGGGGAGAAGGACAAACAAAACCCATAGAGAAGCATTAACCTCTAATCTCAATTTGCAAAAGACATCTTCATAAGAATATAGAATTTCCTTCATTCAGCAGAAGGCAAAGAGAGGGAACAACGTACATATGACTTTAAACTCACAGGCGTTTGATGCAAAATTCACATTTCCATTATGTTGCAAAATACAAATATATAGGCTCCAATACATTACAAAATCAAACATCATATATTGATAAAAAGATGTGCCACTTCTTTCAGAAGATAATATAATTCAAGTACCAGACAGAAACGTACCTCTTCTTTGAGAAGATTATCTAATTCATGTTTACAATCATCCAGCCTCCTCAGATCCGAACTATCAACCACCCAAACTAACCCATCAGTCTGTTCAAAATAGTTCCTCCAGTATGATCTAATTGTTTTCTGCCCTCCAACATCCCATATATTCAAAATATACCTACCAAAACACGCATTAATCCATAGTCACGTAATGAAAACCAGAAATTGCACCAAAAAAGAGAAGAAAAAACATACTTCTGGTAATTAATGGTTTTAATGTTGAATCCAAGTGTGGGATTGATTACACTGGTGTCTTCACCATTGATTTTCAACACTATTGTTGTCTTTCCAGAATTATCAAGACCCCTTAAACAATTAAAGGAAAAATCAACACATAGAAGTTAAGATCGAAAAAAATAATTGAGAAATGTGTTCAAACCAAAAGATGAACATAATTGGTAAAGNAACAATTAAAGGAAAAATCAACACAAAGCAGTTAATATCGAAAAATATAAAAAATATAATTGAGAAACGTGTTCATACACCATGAGAATACGCATCTCCTTTTCTTTGCGCTTGATCTTTCGGATGATGCTGAGCAGACCCATTTTTCGTTAATCAACAGCTGGTTCTGATTCCAATTCCGACAAAAAAAACGTCGAGAAGAAATGGGATTCAGTTCACTTCTTAATTGGAATTTCAAAAAATAATTTACTGATTTGATTGGCAATTTAATTTAGAGCAAATCACAATTGAAAAGTGCTTACTGATGATGGTAGTGAGAATAGATCTGTAGGACTGGTGGTCGGAATCTGTACGCTAGTGAAAGGGGAAACAATGGCGATGAATGGTGGAAGTTGAAATTTCGCACTGGTGGTAATTACGAGCTGGCTCCTAATTTCACAAGTCGATCCTACTCGACTCGTAAAAAAAAATTGGGATTTTTCGGACTTTGAAATAGTTTTGAATTCGGAGAGGATAGTTTGTGGAGAGTAGGGTAGAGTGATGTTTATGTAGGAATTTGTGGATTGATCTGGTTGGAGGATGTGAGTGCCTACAGATTTTAAGCATATCAGCCGATCAAAACCTTAGAAATCCCCAAATCAGACCCAAAAATCCGATCAAAACTCCCACCACCAGATCTCTGTTTTGCTTCCATATTGCATTCTTCTTTCACTTGCTATTTCTTTTGTCTCTATTTGTTTTCTTGATTTTGGGTCAATTTGTGCTAAATTATTGAAGAAAAGGAGAATAGGAAGACTGAAAATGAGAATTAGCCTTTTTTAAAAAAAAAAAAAAATTAATGGAGGGTTTGTAATTACTGAATTTTTGTAGTATTAGAAAATCATGATTTTTGTCTTTATCTGATGATGTGGAGAAAAAATCGTGTACTGATGTAATGAGTTTTATATTATACCCATGTTTAATCTCATTTGTTTCATTTGAATATGTGCTCATGTTAGATAATTTTGTAATACAAATGATTTGCGCCCATCTGATCTGTGACTTTAGAAGAATGTTGGAGGAATTGTGAAATCTTTTGCAAAGATATTTTATTGATGTTTTGGATTATTGAATTGCTAAAGTGTGAATTCCTCAAGAAACATGACAAAAGATTTAATTGGCCTTTGTAGATTAGCCGATATAGTAAATAAATTACTGGATTTGTGCTTCTGTATTTTGACTTTTTTATGGTTTAGAGGTTTCTGAAGAATCTACACTAATTGCTGTGAGAAATCCTTTCCAAAAATACTTTATTTTGTTAATTATCAATTTTTATTTTAATTTTTTAAATTTTTTTGACCTTTTTGTTATTTATTTGTTATTTATTCTGATTTATGGATTTTCAAAATTTTAGATTAAATTTTCTAAAAAAAAAACTGTACACTATTATGTTTTGAACTTTCATGTGTTATAGAAATTCTTGCATTGTAGATATTTGATGAGGTTGCGATTAGAATAAAATTAATGACTCG